GTCTTGTCTCGGTTTTTTTTTTTTTTTTTTTAATAAGAAGGTGTAACATAAAAGTATATTAAACTGCAAAAAAACACACAACTCAAATACTTACGGAGGGAGGGGTTCTAGGAGACCAATCGCTTGCGGTCAATTCTTGTGCTGTTAAATTTTTTGAGAGGTGCACGTCAGGCTATTCCGTAGGCTACGCGAGCTACACACAGTTTACGGCATAACTACGGCCAGTGTTGGGAAGGTTACTTTGGAAGGTTACAGATTACAAGTTACCCTATTTAAAAGATTTAAGATATTTTTGATGAAATCTGAGGACCCTCTGACCCTCCCATAGACAACAAGGTAACTACCACGTTCAAGATCCAGAAAAGTACCAAGATGATCGACAAAGTAGTCCGTGTGACATCAGTGGTTCAACTGTAAAGTTACGAAGCTACGAGAATACTTTTTTTTGCGCAAAGAAAACAAAAATAACGACTATATTCCACATTTTCGTCTCTACTGCGTCACTTGTGGACGCGCGTTCACAACAGTATCATGATGCGAGCGTGTGGCGGCGCTGACCCAGATACGGCGTAATGAAGTCATCACACCGGATCTGGGTCAGCGCCGGCACCACCAGACGCTCGCGTCATGGTACTGTCGTGAACAAGATTTTTTTATTTTTTTTTCAAAAGCTCAGTCACAAGTACTTGAAAATCGTATTATTTTTTTTTTTTTACATCTGATGTTAAAATGATTGAAAGAGTACCCTCCTACAAGTACTTAGGCTTGTAGTAGAAAACAACACTGGTACATTTTTATCTATAAAGCAAGGTTAGGTAAACTTCCAGCTTATCAATGTACCCTTATTTGTCTTATTTCCGGCAGTTACCAGCTACACTCTTCCAAGTGTTTGCTTTTTAACGTACCTTGAGTTTGTACAGAACTGGGGAATACTGCATTTTCGTATTACGCACCCTGGGCATGGAATAATTTGCAAAAAATATCTATATAAATTTGGTGAATTTAAAGGCATCATAAAGAGAGTGGTAATGGAGGCTTGTGATTGTTGTTGTTTTTTTTGTTGAGAGGATATTATGTTTAAATATTGTTCTAATGTGTATTTGTTGTATTTTAAAATGTTGCCTTACTTTATAGCTGCTACCTTGACCAGGTCTCTCTTGTAAAAGAGATTTTAATCTCAATGAGACTTCATAAAGGTAAAAAAATAAAATACATAATGCATTAGCCCAATATCGTAATTTATATATGAAGCTCAAATGGAAATCGGCTATAACAGTCTAAGTACTGATTCGGATTTAAAACAGACAGATCACAGATTTAATTAAATAATTTACAAATATATGTTTCATTTATTTTATTGCCAGTATGCCAATACAAATGAATGACTTTGACAAAGACCATTATTTACAATAATTTAAAACGAAGAATCAGTTGTAGAACCAGTTGTGAAACCGGCGGTTGTAATATAATACAGCACTTTGGAAGGTGCTATTCATTTTTATGACCATTAGATGGCCACAGCATAAACAGTGTTTAAAAGCTTCGAGCACTGAACCTTTTTCCGATACAATTGTGTTGAAATCTTCACTGATTCAGAACGCTTCACTTCACCATCACTACATGAATCATTTGCATTTGCAACCGAATATTCAAAGGAAAGAAAGAAAGAGAGGTATGTTTAGATACACACCAGTTTCTCAGCAACCATCTTTCCCCGGGTGATTCTGGAAAACTTCTTCGATCGTGCGAAATGGTAAATGCGATCATGTTCCTCATGGAGCTTCATCACACGCTTTCGCAGCTGTTTAATACTTTTCCATTGAGGAGAAAACATGAGTCATCCACAAAACCATATTCACAGCATATAATTCTGCTTGCATGACTTAAGGCATGAGATGCAATTGGATATTTTATTTTAAAGGCTATATAGACAGAGTTACGAGGTTTGTACTCACTCCTTTTCAATCATCTCAGAATGAGGGTGCTGCAAACGAGAGGCTTCGGCTGCATCTCGATCCAGAGAATTCAGCTGCTCCAGTGAGTTCAGAATTGTCCTGTCGATGTCCTCCTGGTATATGGGCTGCCTCCCTTCATTAATCATTTTGATATCCTAGAAACATCAAAGAGCAATGCAATTAAGCTATGTAACAATTGTAAAATTAATAGTTCACCCCTTCATTCATGTTTCATTCCAAACAACTATTCTTTAGAACATCTTCAGAATGTCTTATTTTGTGTTACACAGAAGAAGAGGTTGAGTAAATGATGACAATTTTCATTTATTGGTAAACTGTCCCTTTAATTTTTCTTTCCACTGACATGCACTAGTTGTCTGCCTACACTCAATGCTGCGTCCAGGAGGAGACTTTGGGGAATGCTGCCAGCATGTCTGAAGCATGTGTAAAACAACTCCAATCCTATTGGTCCACATGGCCTGTGACATCATAGGGGGGTACCCGAAAGTATAAAAGGGCACCTGCTGAATACATCACCAACTTTTGTTGTCTTCGGAGCCGTCTGTTTGTTCACATGTGGTCGAGCAGCGCTTTAAGGAATGTGCGCCTCCATTTATTAAGGGCATATTCTAGCTTTTGTGTCTTGTCTCGGCATCTACGTGCTCATTGTGATGAGTCACAATGATAACGCTCCGCTCGTGCTTGTTCCTATTCCCAAGGGATGTGGGGCAAAGCGTTTGTGTCTCGGGCCGTTGCCATGGCACGGTTTTATCTCAGCTCGCGGCGATTGCTTTGATCTGCGGTGTACGCATACCCTTTACATCGGGTTGCCTGGTGCTGCGGATAATGCTTTTACCACGGATAATGATTGTGTTGCCATAACGATGAAGTGTGAGCACTGAATTGTTTTTAGCTCAGAGCATGTGAGATCACTGGCGGAGCTATATTTAGCTGAGTTGTGCCTCTCTAATATG